TTAGGGATGATAGTGTCTGCTGCTTGGAAGACAAGCCGGTCCCCTGCAGGGCCAGGCTCAGTCTCCGCTCATCAATAGACAGGGTCAAACCGGAGCTCCACTGGAGATAGCAGAAGAGGAGATTTGCAATGTGAAAATATCACTGTGGCATTTACAGCGAAGGTTTGTCTGCGGGGTGAGGGAAGGTGTAGTTAACTAACTCATTGTGGAAGCAATCGAGCAGACAGGACTTTGAGGAGAATCTTTTTTTTTTAGAGCCCGCTGGCTTCCGCAGACATTAAAGTGAAGCTTCTTGTGAAATCTTCCCTGATGTTTCCCATCCTGCTTCTTTTTCATTAAGGAGGCCGTAATGCAGAGAGGATGCCCTTTGAACGAAGAAGGGGGGACATGTCATGTTCAGCTGGGGGAGTTGTTTACAAGAACATGGCTCGCTTTTAAGGAAATTGAGGGCATGTGTCTGGGTCTCGACAATGTTTAGCGCTATGACCAGATCATTAGTGCGAATAGGTTTTGACTCTCAGTTGAACTCCAGTAAATTCAACAGAATCCAACTAAGAACGTTTCAGAAAAGCGAGAGGTCTAATGGATTTCTGCTGAGTCAAAATGTGTCAGTAGGTAAAGGGAATGAATCATCACAAACTGGGGATTCTTTAAAAAGTAGGCAGATTTAGTGTTTGATTCTTTTTTCAATCTACTTCAGAGGCAGCAAACACTCTGCGGGATGAGGGATAAAGAAACATAGCTGACACACGGAGCAAAAGGACATTCAAGCTCTTTATTCTGGCCCGTTCTTTTAATCAGTCCAGAGATCGGAGGGCACATCTCACTAACACAACAAGTGAAAGATGCTTATTAGAGTTACTCAGCTAGACATAATGCACAAACAAGGACATTGGAGATGCTTATAATGGTGCTTCAGTGCCAGGGTCAGCGTCCGCCTCAAATCAATCAAAGGAGTTTGGATCGAGGGAGTGTTTTACAAAAGGCTCACACCATCATTTATCTTATCATTTGACGGTGTGTAAGGTTGCTTTGTAAACAAATTGGAATGCAAATTGCATTTGTTTGTTTTTTCCCTCAAAGCTTTTCTGGCTGATTTAAAGCACTCACGCATCCTGCAATCACTCTCACACACGTATGCATTGCCTACATGCACGCACACACGCACACACACACAGAGGATAATGTTTTCTGGCATTAGAGAGCTGGACAAACCTCAGATGAATGTTCTCCCTCCCCCGCCAGGTCTGATTTTCTCCTGGTTGTCGCGCAGCATGTGTGCGCAAATCAATCAGGCCCCTTGTTCTAATCAGTCCCACTTATATCACCCTGCAAATAAATGACACCATTCAGGAGGGGAGATCAATAGGAGATAAGGTGAAAGTCTCCCCGCTTCCTGCCCACAGGGCACAGTGGTTGGGACGGAGGCAGACTAAACTAAACAGGTTTATTCTTTTGTCTTTTACCTAAAGTGATTTCACTCTCAAATGTCATTCAATAACCTCAGCTGAGGACGGGCTCAGATCAGGAACAGATGAAGAAATGGATTTTAAGTGTGTGAGTGTGTATGAGGCAGGCACATGCTTGCTGCTTCCTTGTGCTGTGGGTGAGGGAGAAATAATTGCCACTTCAATATATTGAGATATATTTCATGCAATACTGGGTTATAAGTGTATCCTTTCCTTACTCCAGCCACTGTTCTGCTCTGCGGCTTTTCAGCCAGAACTACAACCAATCACAAGGCCCACTGGCTCAAACATGCACCTGCGACATGTGATTGACAGCTGGCACGAGTGATTTCAAGGATAAGGCTGGAAATATGACATATTTTTCTTATTGTCAACATCTTATTAAAACCAACAATGTGTTAACCTGGCTCTCATTTCTTTCTGATCATATTCATCAGGGATCTGCCTCTCCATCACTGAGGCACTGATACATTAAAGATACATATGAAGCAACTACCAATGCGATACAATTAACCCATATTATGATGCAGCATGATTCAACACAATTAGAAAAAGAATATGATGCTATGCAGTTTAATATGGTACAGACAATTTTATTTTATTTCTGTGGTTCTGAGGCAGCAGTCTTAATAAAGGCTTCCTCCTCTACTAATCATTATATATAAACAAATTGTTTTTTACTGATGCAAAGATAAAGATAGAGAAACAGTAGATCCAGAGTTCATCCCAGCATTCACATCTTGAATTTCTATGCTGGTGTACTGATGCAAATCTGTGAATCTTACCATCCCGACGACCCATTTGTTTCTACTAAAGATGTAGAGCGTTAAAAATGTTTTTGTTTATTCTTATAAAAGCTAACTACAACACATGGGCTTTTTAGCCAACTTTATTCAAATTGGAGTAAATTGTGTATTTGTTTGGGACTATTTCCAGTGGCGGATTAATACACATTTGGTACTCCAGTGATTATTTAATACAGTAGGAGTATGTGGAAACTACAGTGTCCATGTTCTTCATGATGAAGGAACATGACACCCAATGCAGCAGTGTGGCTCACTGATGTGTTTTAATAGTGGATTAAAGCATGCTGCTGACAAACATAATGCATCTGTTTCCCATTTTTTTAATGCAATACAAGAAACATCCATCTCAGTAAGTCATATTACATTGAGCTGGAAGGTCATTTGTAATCATTTGACTTTTTCCAGTTCACCATGTTTGTGGGGCAGCATTATCTTGCCTTCAGCTACACATTTGTAGCAGAAAGCCTGTATTGCAAACTGGAGCTATGAAAGACATGGGCATTTACCAGACTGACAGGAGCTTTGGACCTTGGGACACAACGTCAGGCCTCTGCTGCTTTTATTTTCACCATTCTTTTTCTAATTTGTCTCTTTCAAGTCGGGTAGGGTCAGAAGTGCATTTTTAAAAGGTCTGTATCCTACTTTTATTTATTTTTTTACAGACTTCAAAAGGTACATGATTGTTACCTTATGTAGTATTGTCTGTCTACAGTTTGTGGTTATATTGTTGTTTGTTTCATCTCAGCTTCTGCTTACATTTGTGCACATGGAAAAAACTAAAAAATATTAAGCGATACTTAACATATGCATATTAGTCTGTATGGCACAAACACAGCTTGAATGAAACTTTGATCCAAGATGAAAACAGTTAAATCTGGTACCACACTCAAATATGCAAGATGTTCTATCGTCTATGCAGGATGTTTCACATTATAATAAAAAGATTTTATGAGTAAATAGAGCCAAGGTGACTTGTTACAATGGCCATCCTGTGCGTCCCTGTTAATGTCCCTGTCTGGCCAACCTTTAGTTTTTTAGATGACCGGGCAGCATGCAGAGAGCCCCAACCACCTGCTGGGTGCAACTCGCCCCAAAGCAACTCGCCAGCCATCCACCCTGCTCTCTCCCTGCCTCCTGTGAGCAGTGAATAAGACATGCTGTGAGTCAGAAAGGCCCAGGTCCAAGAACCAGGCCTGGGTTTGGTTAAAAGTGCTGGTGGTGAGCCATAAAAGGGCAGGGATAAAACTGAGCAAAGAGGAGGTCTCTCCCCTCCTATTCATGATTCATGAATGACTAATCTTTAATGTAAGCCTCCTCAAACACAATTTATTTTATTATTCACTCGCTCAGTATGCGCCAGCTGGACTTTTGCAGAACCACACCCTCGATAAACTTTGTAGGGGAGGAAAAGGTCTGAGTAGCACTTGTGTGGTTTGTTATGGTTTGAAATGTTTGCTCGGGACTAATTTTTCATCCACCACTTTCTCTGAGTGGACATCAAAGCAGAGACGTGCCAGAGAGCAGGAAATGGATTTCCAAGATTCTCCTTATGCTTCACATTAGAGCAGTGAAATTAACACTTTCACTGAAGAAATATTTGGAAATACGCTTTTAAGATATTCATCAAAATAACTTTTTGCAAACTTTTCCTCCTTTTTCTTATAGTTCAAAGGATTGTTGGCAAATTCATGCTTTAAATTCATTATCATATCTTTATGATTTAATTAAATTTCAATTCAAAAGGTAGTCAGTAGAGCCACTGCAACCCATTTGTTAGTTCCATTGAGCAGTAATGACAAAAACAATCTCTCTTTTTCCCAGCTGACCAGTTTTTAAGCCTCTAATGGTTGAGATGTCCATTTACAATTACAGTACTCTCTGAACAATCTGCAATCATTTGTGTCCATTAAAGTGAAATCATTTATTACCTACAGTATCTCTTTTTGTGGAAAAGAGCAATGTGTAAAACCCAATAAATAAAACATTTGATATACAACATAAACATGAGATATTTCAAAAGATGAATAACTCAGATAAAAAAAACTGATCGTCAAATAAAAAGCAACAAAGGCATATAATATGCAGTAGTCTTTATAAAACTACATACTATAAAAGTGAGTATTCCGTATGCATGCCAATGTGGACACATCCTTTGGGCTGAAGTTGCACTGCCTCCAGTGATCAGAGTGAAGTGGTCAATGTCCACAACTGTTATTAGGCTTATCTGGTTGACTCATTATCTAAATTACAATGGGTTTACCTAATTAGTAATCAATCGTTACTTTTATTGAAAACAAACAAAATAAAATGTTGGAAAAAGCATACACATATAATAATTTGTTTTAAACTTGATGTAATATGTTGGAAAGTTTATTTCCTTTGCCTCATTATGAGGATGGTTTTAAATAATTTATTAGGTACAGTAGATCCTTTCCTCTCCAGTAAACAGAATTGTGGAATTGTGCAGTTTTTACAGTGATAAATTCAAACCAATTATATGATACATATAGTAAACAGCATTGAGTAATTATTGTTTCCATAGTTTATAATGCAGTATGAGTCAAGGCAGGAGCACACAGTAGGTACAGTCTGTGTGTTTCCTCCAATACACGGCTGAGTGCACATGAACATATAAGCTCCTTGAGTACAAGTACAGTAAACGGTCAAACTTCCTGCCTATGAACAGTAACGATGGTTACATAACACACCATGTTTGAGTGTTTTTTCTTGCTGACAGCCACTCACACTGGAAATGATTAACTTCCATATATGGGAAGTGACTCTCAACACATAGGCATTAAATTAACAAGGGATCTTTCTGCACAGCGTGAGTAATATCTGGAACATCGACTGCTAATATCTGATTACAAATGTATAAAATAAGTGGAAAGAAGAGGAGGGGAAAAGCCAATTTGTGGAATATGTAGCCGCCTCATGCCAAATGCAAAGTAATACACGTTAACAGAGAAAATAGAAAATAAATTAATTCCACTGAGTAATTTTTTATTCAGTTTTAACTCAGGGAGCTTCTTTGATCTGGATAATTTTGATCATGTAGCTGTTTAATCATAAAATAAGCCCTCGTTTTCTTACACGGCCTTTGGTGCTTTACTTAATCTATCAAAAGAGGATTTGAAGCTATTGTTCAGAGCTGCAGCCACATAAATACTGATACAGTGTATTTACTCCACTTGTACTGAAAGCAATGTTTGTCAGATAAAATAGCAGTTCATGAACTCCGAGTGTAATGGATATCAGTGCTGAAATTCCTCCCCATGCTCTTACCCAGGAGGATACTTTGTCACTTTGGTTTAAAGTTCTTCCCATGAAAGGAGGCTGCAAAGGTCGTGCCCCATCATTCTGACATCATTATTTCCTCGCTTCTACCCGAGCAGAAGGGGTTACATGTGGTAACGCTGGCTTCGGAGAGGCTGGAGTTGGGGAGGGGGAGGAGGTCCTCTGCTCGAGGTGGGACCATAGAGGATGCCCGGCTTTTTTTCCCATGTTCTCCCCCAGCCAATGAAAACACTGGAAAAACGGCACGTTCCCATCGGCTAAGCCTGGTGACACTGCGACCCCAGGAAAAGCGTGAGTAAATACCAAAGGCAAGGCCACGGGCTGGGAGGGAGGAGGGGGTGGTGAGGGTGGATGTGGGGGGAGTAAAAGTGCTCTGAAATATTTCAAACCTGCCCCACTGTGGATGTGGAAGCAGCACCTATTACCAGCCACCTGTGCTTCATTTAGGTTAAATCCTTAATTAGGCTTTAAAAGCTCATTTATTTTCATTTTCTAATCCCCGCTGTATTGCTTTTCTGGGGCTATTCACCTGTCAGATGCAATTGAATCCTTAAGAAGGTGGCCCTGGTTCAAGACCCGCAGGTGATACAGGAGTTTTTTGATTCTTAATTCTTTCTTTCCTCCTTACCCAAACTTTTATCCTTTCCTTGTTCTTTTGTCTATGGATGGATCTCTTTTTTGTCTTTTCTGTTCATTCATCTGCTGCAGTAAGCATTTCAAACACCACAGATGTTGAATAAATGTGCGTGGACATGTTCAGGTCAAACTAAGGCGATATACCAGTATTGTTTGTGTATAATCCAAAATGTGACAGTTTCATTTCTGGGTGAAAACAAGACACCACAAGAGTGTTGTCTGAGATGTTTTGTTTTTTCCTGCATCGGTTATTCGTGTCATTTTCCCCAACTGTGAGTGAAGGATGTTTATTTCAGGAATTTGTTGTTTTTTTTCCAGTCAGCCCACACTGTAGCAAAGGTCCAAATAAGATGTTATAGTGCTCATGATTGTGGGACTGAAAAGACCAAAATAACATCCAGATGTTCCCAATTACGCAGCCCCAGCCTTCAGTTTGTTTGTGTTACTACAGTAAGTAGTAAGTCCAAAAGCACACAGAAACTGATGACTGTTTGCTGGCTGTAAATTTAAATGGGATATAAGTAATCTCATTCATATGCTCCAGTTGTTGCAGAGAATATAAGATAATGACAATTTATAGTTTACGCAGAGGCCATTGCGCTATATTTAAAAGGTTAAAAGGCTTATTGTGTTAACTCAATATTTGAGCGGTGTGTACATTAAACAGCAGTGTAGGTGTGTGTTGACCGGTTTTGAATTGGACTGCATGCAATTAGTTAACTTTGAACGCAGACCAGAATTGAAATTTGTGTTTGGCCTCTTTGCTTTCAAATGGAACACCATGACAATTAAGGCTGCACTCTGAGAATGCTTTCCTTGAGGCCATCCTCCATTATTCATAAAAACTGTAAATAATCTTTTCTATTAAAGCCGAGCGTTTTAGCCTTGTATATTTGTAAACAGTCGAGGGACCTCAGAGATGGACAAAATATTATCCAGCGTGCTCATAAGAACTAACCACCAAATACTTTGAATGCTCCCCAGGTCACTGAACGGGATTATTTGAGATACGGAAAGCATCCCACACCTTGTGGACCTAACGCTTAAATTTGAATTCTCCTCACTGGTACATATTTTTCCATTTTTCAGAGTGGGATGAAGCATTTTTGTACATTTTTGTGGAAACGATGTCTAAGATTCAGCACTGGCTGGGTGTTTCCCATGGCAGCGCCCAGTGACAGTTAAGAGCCCGTCAGGTCGTGAACTACCATGATGCACCACAGGCTGGATTAATCACATCCCTGTAGCCTACAAACATTGATACAAGGTGTTGTTTCCTCTTCTTCAACAAGCCCACATATAGTATCAACCAATGTTGATTTAGGTTGTATGTACCTTTATAAAATTCAACATCTGGGAGGACCCATCGTGCTGTTCCTTTTGTATTTCTTTCAGGTGTCTTTCAGAAATTGAAAGCTAATAATCCAAGCCAACATTTCTTTAACATTTCCTGCACAGTCACTATTCTGTTTATCCCAAATTGTTGAAGGAGGAGGTTCTAGCTAGCGTCTCTCACAGCAACAGTTGTGGTAATGTGGTTCACACTGTAGTGAAAGAAAAACAGATCTAAGTCACATATGAGCAAAACAAAAATCGGATTTGAGTCAGTTGCAGTGTAAACACAGCCACAGAGTCAGAGTAATGTCGGGAGAGCTTTAACCACAGTTATTCCCAAGCTGGTTAACTGACTAACTGGTCATCGGAAATTATGTAATATAACAATGTGTACTACCTCTTCCCACAGATACTGCACCAACCAAATAACCAATACCAACAGTGTCAGTTTGAAGGAAAAATAAATGTTTCCCCTTGGAAAATGTAGGAAACTTGACACACTGACACTGAAGATCTTCTAATTTGGTAGCAAAAATTATTTTTATTTCAGTTAAATCTGAAGGACTGTTTCTAAAACATCTCTTCATTGCTCTGCCACAGGTTACAGTGACCTAAAGTTCCTGGAGGAGGTTCACTCATCACGTGCAGTGAACTCATTGAAGGCGTGTCCTTCCCTGAGAACAAGGGGTTCCTCTGGAGCTGCAAACAGGACGGAGTGTTCTCCTTGGGAAAAAAAATGTACTTGGCAATGAGTCAGACCTCTCTGAAAACCATAGGGGGATATCCCTGCTCATACTCCTACACAGGATCACACCCAGAACGAATGGAGGAGTGGTGTGCGTGTGTGAAAGAATGAGTACACACCCAGCCATATGTGACTGTCTGCATGTCTCCACGTATCCGCTCCATAAATTCATCCAGACTTTTTCTGAGTTCTGCACCGGTTTGGTGCTTTTAGACATTCTCTGTCATCCTTGAGCTGTTTTGCCTGAATACATTTAAAAGCTTCCTACTAATGCAGGGAACAATTAAGTTATCAAATGGACACAACCATTATGTAAAAGGCGGGTTATATTGCCAACAATTTGAACACTGTCTGCTTCCTGGAAGTGCAGACGAAATGTCAGGGGCACAATATTTCAAGGCTATTAACTTGAGTGCTTTTTTATTCAGTCTCATTACTTTTTAAACAGCATAGGAAGTCACGGAAATGTAATATTAATTTTTACATGGCTTTCATTTTCATTCCTATGGAGCTGTTTAAAATTCATGCGGGGAGCAGGAGGGCCAGCATAGTATTCTATACGCAGCGAGACAAAGTCACATCTGCGTTCTCTTTCTGGAGGAAAATCTTAGGTGTTGGGTGTTTTGTTGAGTGCGAGGTCATTGTGTATTCTGCGGTAAGTGATGTGACAATGGACACGTTGTAGGAGTGGATCTGACAACACAGAGGAAGAGGCAGGAAGAGAGAGTGTGTGCATCAAACCCAGCAACTATCTCTGGGAAAACACGTGGACAAACATACGGAGCATCTACCTTGGGAATACAATCCTGCATGCCTGCATCAATACACACCTTTCTAGGCACTCGCCTTCATACAGGAAAACTGCATAATGCAACATATAGAGTGAATATTAGTTGAATAAGAGAAAGATGGACTGGCAAAGAAAGAAAGAAGGACAGATATTTCATTAAATCTTTATTTTTGAATTTTAAAAATCCAGATAAGACCAATTTTGATCTACGAGAGCTCCCTAATTTAGGCCCTAATGAGAATTTTTCAAATGTGGGGAGCCTTATCATGAAAAATGGCTTGAGACCATTAATAGTTTATAGGTTGAGTTAATGATAGAGATGACTCCTAATTGAGCTCTACAGAGCTTTACTATCCGGTGGTCCTTTTCACCAGCGCCAGGAATCTCTCTCATTATTTCAAAAAAGCCATGCATAATATCCACTCTTTTTTTAGGGATAAGATTAATTTATGTTCCCAAAAAAAGATCCTGCCCGACTTTCACGAATCAGAATGGAGGAGTGGAGGAAAATATATATATTGTCTAATTCAACTTCTAATTCTGATGTAACATAAGAAAGAATGAGCAGATCTGACAACACAAAAGGTCTGCAGTCATCTCTGTTATGATACGGTTGCCATGGAGATTTAGTTTCCACATTACTGTAGCATGGGCTTTCCTTCTTGATTTAGGCTTTTGTTGTCCAGCAACTGACCAGTCGCTCATCTAATCAGGGCCTGTTGCGGCCATGCTTTCCACTGAGGCTGCAGTCACACACACATATGCACACAGAGTTACAGTTGAGGCTTATAAATAGGCATTATACCATATGAACACGTCATCTGCCTGTTGCTGTGTGGCTGCCAACCAGTCAGTACAGTAAACATCAGGTCACCATGGCAGTAGTCTGAGCGGCTGACAAAACAGGGGAAACAGGAAGGGATTCCCTTTCAGCCAAGTGACGGCCACAGTGTTGCGTGGATTCCCATCAACCTTTCCCTGGCACGGCCGTGGGCTTCCCCCATCTTGCTCAATCGCGCCAAATGGTCGGCGGTAAAGCCCCCCTCCCCACCCCTTCCAGAACATGTGGCAGCTCTAATTACCGCGCCACACAGGCCTCGGCTCTGGAAAACCACAAAAATGGGGTTATACGGCTGTGTGCTTTTAAGGCGCTACCAGGCCGATGTGGTGCCCTGCTCTGAGCTGAAAAATGTGCTCAATTATTAATGATTTGTGATTTACAGGCAAGCTAGATTACAAATCCCCCTTTTAAAGAGGTGAAATATGGAGAACTATATATAAACAGCTCCCAGCTCTCAGGCTGAGGGCAGATTTCCAACATGGCAGATGGTGACTGTGAGACAGTCAGTGGAGAGGAAGAGCTGAGCTTGAACTGAAGAAGAAGCCAGTGTGTGTGTGTGTGTGTGTGTGGTGGTGTGTGTGGCTAGATCAGAGTCCTAAACAGCATTTCATCGATAGAAGAGCGTAGAAATGGAATTAAAACACCCTTCTAACAAGCTCTCATGTTCAGAGCTGCTTGTCTTGCGGCTACTGATTCACCCAGGGCGATTTAGAGTGATGAGGGAGAAACAAATTGGTGTTATCATATTGTTAGATGTCAAAACAGAGCTGCCCCGTTGCCTATCATTTGTTTTGGGAATTAGAAACATTCTCCCTCTGTTACTAGCTTTTCTATTTTTGGGAGGAAAATAAAACCTCAGCGGACCCTGTTGAGATGGGGGAGGAGATTGAGGCATAAATAGTCTTCCTGTTTGAACTTTAAATAAAGCAGCACACGATGTCAGCCAAGGCTTCCTAATGGGGTGGATAGATCCGGTTCTACCAAAGTGACACCAAAGTGACATTTTGACTTGGCAGGGCATTAAATTTTATGCTAAGCAGCTACCTTTGACTGGAGTACAAAGAATGCAAAGGATCTGACATTTACACTCACAACTTGATGTTCATCGACTGCCTTAAAAAGTCAGAAAATGTAATACAACGCCTCCTTTCCTCAGTCTTCATTTCCACTCTAATGATTCTCAGCCTGAAATTTTTTACGAAACACTTAAAATTCCAGAAATTAGCATTGTTTTGTGTAACTTCTGTGCTCAGCAGATCTGCGAGGATGCATATCTGAGCAGGGATCCCCAGTGGGAAACATATTCACCCAAACCTCGCTCAGATCAGTCGGTGAAACCCGCCGCAGCTCCCGCAACCAAGGGAATTCCTCTCAGAAATATTTGCTTTTTTGTTCTAGTGAGGAAATGAGGGTGAGAGAGGCGGAGGGAAGAGGGGGTTTACTGAAATTGAATCACCATGGCAACTTCAATAACATTTCACTTCCCCTCCCCCCCATCACCCAAGCACACACACACACGAGAGGAAATGAGTTTCAAAACGGAGAAGACGCTTCAACCGTCATTTGTTTTTGACGCCTGCCAAGCAACAGAGACATCATTGACTTGATAAGGACTCACTGACAGTTTTACTACTCTGCATCCTATTGCGGCACAGGAAGGCTAGGCGCTGCTAAAATGCTAATGGTTCACAGGTCCTTGCTGCAAGCAATAAAAACATTATGAAAGTATCTTTATGCGCACTCTAACCCAATTCTGTGCTGTTGTAGGAGAATGTACGTTCCACTTGTCTCTCTCTAAAGTTTTGCCTAAAGAGGCATCCTGGGAATCTGGAGATGCTGTCAGAAGCCGGAGGGCCAAATTTGACAGGAATGTGGCTGCAGCAGGAAGACCTGCTGTATGAGACTTGCTGAGGAGTCATGTACAGCTGTGGATCTGCAGATTTCACTCTTCAAATTCAGGAGGAAATCCGATTCTGAGCACTATATGTTGAAGTAATAATTCAAGGTTATATGAATATATAAAATGTAACACTGATTCATGAAAGCTTTAGCATTTTGAAACATGTAGTAGTGGACAGAGTCTTGTGAATGTCAAGACAAAACTGTGAAAATAACACAGGCACTACAATAAAGAATAGATCCCATATAGATGCCTGTTCCAAGTAAAGGCAGATTGAGTTCTGTGATTGAAGCAAATAAAATCTTTACGGTAGAAGGGTTGTATGCTCTTAATTTTACGCCTTTGTTTATGATGTTGATCGCTGTTATGCTTGACTCATTTCAGGATTCACTGGTTAAAAACTGTTTAAGCAGCTGTATCCTGCCTTGTCAAACTTCAATAAACGAATCTTGAAAGCCACAGAGAATTATCACCCAACTCTCAACTTTACAGAGCCTATTTTAGTGTATTGTTAGCCTGTGTTTTCCTGGCTAGCAGACTTTGCTGTCATCAACCTTGTTTCCAACAGGCAGCTGTTATTAGCTGCTACGGAATGACACACAGACTGAAGAATGTCGAACACCTAGCCACAATTATATTTTCCTCAGTAGTTCCTGAAGACAGAAAAAAAAAGTTAGGAGAATAATATTGCATTCATTGGACGACCAGAAACTCTGAAAACTCACTACAAATGAATGCTAATGTTGTGTGAATTGGCAAATGCTTTCACATTCTTTGTAAGATGATAATATGTCAAGATTTTGTGGTGTTCTGCATCCAAGTGACCAAAAGTCTATTTTTTGCATTACAATTAGAAACACAAGAAAACAACAACATGCCATCACACATCTCAGCCTGACTGCAGGTCCTCAGCTTGCAGCACATTTCTGGTGTTTCAATAAAACATAGAGGAGACAACAGGCAGCTGTAAATGACATGCTTGTCTGAGGCCCTCCACTGTGCAACACCTACAGGATTTCTCGTAATGGTCAGCTCCCCGTGTCCCCAGCCTTCATTTCTTCCATGTGCCACTGGACAGTTAAGCCTAAAGATACCTGACACCATATGTTTCCCAGTGCAGTAATGACTGCTCCTAGCGCTGCTTTTATGGCAGCCGGCCTCTGGAGGCTCAGTGATCAGGGACAGGTCCAGGTCTCAATTAGTGCTGCTGCAAGGAGGCTTTCTTTGCTTACCAGAAGCAGCTTTTACACAATTAACACCTCTTTGGTGCAGTATGTATCCACCTTGTGCTACAATATTAAAAAAAAAAAAATGCATGTGGGCTGCAGTATGAAATTTACAACAAAATCCACGAGGGGCACTGAGAAGAAAGGCAGTGGGCAAGATGTGTGAGCAGGAGGAGACGAGCAGTACGGTGAGGACACAGAGCAAAGAGGAGAGAAAACTGAGAGAAGCAGAATGAGAGAGACAGAGATGAAGACAGAGAGAGAGAGAAACGAGGGAGACCAAAGGCATGTGGAGTTCACCATCACTTTGCTTGGCTGCACTGTGATTAAAGAGAAGAGTCCCTGGAGAGAGAGGCGGCTCCAGGCCTGCCCAGTCAGTTCTCTCACTCCCTTGATCTCCTGTGTGTCGCCCACAGAAACATACCGCCAAACCTTCAGGAAGGGCTCCTTTTATTGCGCTGGGTCCCCCATCGGCTCCAAAGAATCTGCAAAGCAAGCACAGATTGTCATGGCACGAGCTCCTCTCAATTTAGAGGAAGGAGGTCTGCCTTGGATGAGCTGCTGCCTGGATCCTGAAGGAGTTTTTTGATGTTTTAATGAAGATATCTCCAGCATTTCTAAAAGCGTCTTGTTACACATGAACTTGTCAAGCTCTGAGATTAGGTAAAAAGAGAATTTTTGGCGAGTGATTTTCCAGAAAGTTCCTGCTAAAAAAAAGGCAGGAAAGTGAAAATAAGCCCACTAAATCGTCATTAATCCCCTCAGGGGGGCTCTATCCTCATTTGATTGAAGTGCCTATTCTTTCTGAAAAATTGATAATCAGAACTTCGCAGACTGGTAGCCAGGAAAGAAGAGATGGGAAACCAAAATGTCGCTCTCAATCTTAATTAAATTCTTCATTCAGTGGCGGTGGGCTGATCAGTCCGTCACGGGCCTGGTCCCTCCCTTGACCTTTCTTCTTCTGGTCAAGTGACCTTCACTCCCTGTCTGTAGAGCATCTGACAAGGAAGGAAAGAGCCTGAGGGGGGTGAGGGAAGAAAGGCCGTGACATTACACACATTCATAAGGCGCCGCAGCCTGGATAATTACACCGGTACTCACTTAACATGCATTGCAGGCAAGCCTATCGTTTATCAGCCGCATGACCTCTAGCGAAGGATCTCTTCCTCTGATCTGTCTAATTATTCAGGGTTTTTTTTTTTTTCTCCGTCGCTTCCTTTCTGCCATTAGTAACAAACGGAAAAAACCTTTGTGTGTGCGTGTAATCTGAAAACAAGTCAAAGTTGTAAACATCACAGCTGGCTGGCAGGGGGAATTTCGGAAGTGATTCACTGATGTTTTGTGCAAGATTTAAATTAATTCCAGTTGGCCCTCAGCTATTTTGTATTATTTCTTCCCCTATAAAAACACACTTATCCTCTTCTTCAGTTCTCATGCCTGTGGCCGATTGGAACTCAATGGGGGGTTTTTGGGTGTCATTCTAAATTTGTTGGAGATGGGGGAAAGTGAATCCTCCTAAATCTGGTTTAGTTAGCTTGTCCCACACACGGAGCTGCTGTTTTAACAACTGGTCGTATTTAATGACTGTACAGAAATGTGAATGGAGCGTGGCTTAAAATAGATTCAATTAGGGTTTGTTTTATTTTTTAAATAATTTCTTAAATACTTATTTCACTCTTTGTTTTTTGTGCCAATTTAAAAATACTGAGCATCAGCTTGTCACACAGTAAAATAAATCAAAGTACAACTGAGGCTGATGGGAATGTTATTACTTGAGGCATTAAACCAAAATTGTCAACCTCATACTGGCACAAGAGGAAAAGTTATCACTGTACATCCTCTGGGAGCCATGAATGACTTTGCAACATTTTGTGCCAGTCTATGTGGTAGATATTTTAGTTTAGACCTAAGTGGCATAGCATGGCTTAAAGCATTGTGACACTGAACACGGCTGGTGCATCCATCTAAACCAACTTTCTGCAGACAGACTAGGACCTGATGTATAACTTGGAAAAACGGTGAATAAATGTGTTTCTCAGTGCCTTAACTGACATTTAGATGTTTCTCATTCCTGGCAGGAATGCAGAGAACAAGCAGTGGAGAGTGAAACAGCCAAATGGTCTGAAAGGGAGAACTGTATGTAATATAGTACGTGCCATAAACCTGCAGCTGATATTTCTGGGTCACTTATCTGCAGGGAGCTACTTGCACTGTTCTAACCTGTCAGCTTATTATGTAACACATTGGCCTACTTTGCCCTATACGCTGTCTGTAATTTTCCACTCGGCCTATGTATTCCATGGGTTACCAGTGAATGCAGGTGAAACTGACAGGATTTGAAGGAGGAATTTCTCAGTTAAAGTGCTCAGGGTGCAGATGAAACAGCATGAAGAAAAGGCGAGCTAACACTGTTAGAGCCTAACTCTGTCCATTTTCAGCTTGTACATATTCCATTTTCACTTTATCCATAGCCTGGCAGCTTTCACTGTACTTTTTTTTCTTTTTACTACTTTATAGAGCAGCTTTAGTAGACAGGCGGCTGCTTGACAAGGAGAACTCAAAGAAGGGCTAGAGCAAAAGCCAAAAGAGCATCAAAAGTGTTCCAGAAAAGCATGACTGTAGATGCTCTTCATCTTTGTACCAATAGACCTCACTGCACATCATCTGGCTGCTTTGAGGGTAAAGGACCATAACTGTGGTTTTTCATGATTCAGTGCAAATCACAAATACGTTACATCGCAGCTAAACATGCAACTCTGTTTAAGGGAATTTATATTTTTATATTTTTCAGTGCATCTCTTTATTCCTTTTATTAAGCACACTTTTTTGCACACACTGCTCGAGCTGTGTAATCATCACAAACATCAAACATCATCAATGAACGATAAACATTTTTTTTGTCATGGTTACCGTACGGATTCAGTATGATCTAACAGTGCAGAGTTCTATTTTATGCTTGAACTGCATGTACCATGCAACAATAATCATCAAACAAGCAACAGGAAGTGTGATGTTGCCAGGGAGACAGTGAGGTTGCTGCTACACCAGTCTTCTTATTTCCTTTAAGTCTATTGCGGTTTACAATTTGGTAAATCTGCTGTGAGTCCTCGAAAGTCGCGCTGCATGTGCTACACACTAGTTCCTGTTTGTGGTGTGACCTCAAATTACTTTTGACACTGGAGAAAAAGTCAAACTTTGCTGAGTGTGAGGGAAGATATGAAGTTATAAGGAGCTGTTTTATATTGATAGATGGTTATCCTCAGCCCCTCATGACCAATAATCCAAAAACAACTCAAATCTATATATGAGAAAAGGACACAAGTCCAGTGAGACTGTGAATCTTTCCATCCCCGGGCACATTTGTGCAGAAATGGTCTTGTCTCCTGTAAATCCTGGATTCTCAGCACAGAGCAGCAGACAGAAACACAGGGAAAGCTCTGACGGCTGCTGATTCTGAAAGACAGACAGATGAGACTGGAAGGATGGGTGTCTGACATTTGAAACATAAAGCATCGATAATAACACGCCATAGAATAAGTAGCTATTAGCATGCATGTGTCAAGCCTGCGAGTTTAACATTTCCTGCATTGTTAAGATATTTTTGTTGCTTTTTCAACCAAGGCAGCAGCCAAATTGATCACATTGATTCTTCAGGACTGGTTAATCAATGTTTAATGATAATGCCCATGTAAGTGGAAGTTGGGTACGAGTTAGGTATTAGAGAGAAATGGATTGAAACAGAGTTTAGGGTTCGAGTCAAAAAACTTGGAAGAACCCCTCTTAGTCAGTACCTAAGAGAGTATTTCATATCCCTAATAGAAAGGTTACCTCACCATGGGAGTTTCCCATAACACTTAAGATACAGCACAGAGACACAAAATACATTTTAGCCTATAGCCCCGGGGGGAAGCCATTAAACACACATTCTGGCACATGGATATTAAAAAAGTGAAAAATTACCCCAGTTCAGCGATGTCAGAGAGAGGGAGAGCCTCTGTCATGATTATCATATCCATCTCATACAGCAGGGTGGATTCCCTTTTATGCCACGATACTAATTGATGAGAAAATATGAACCTGTGAGTGGAGAGAG